CTTGATTTCTCTTTCTGTCAGTTCATTGTTGGTGTATAGGAATGCAACCAATTTCTGTGCATTGATTTTATATCTTACAGCTATCCTGAATTCATGAATCAATTCTAGCAGTTTTTTGGTGGAATCTTTTGGCTTTTCCGTATAGAGTATCATGTCATCTGTGAAGAATGAGAGTTTGACCTCCTCCTGGCTGATTTGGATGCCTTTTATTTCTTTGTGTTGTCTGATTGCAGAGGCTAAGACTTCCAATACTGTGTTGAATAACAGTGGCGAGAGTAGACATCCCTGTCTCATTCCTGACCTTAGGGGGAAAGCTCCCAGTTTTTCCGCATTGAGGATGATATTAGTATTGGGTCGTTCATATATGGCTTTTGTGATCTCGAGGGGATGGAAAGCCATCTATCATGCTAATGGTCAACAAAAGAAAACTGGAGTAGCCATACTTATATCAGACAATCTAGACTTTAAAATAAAGTGATGGGTCTTGATTTGAGTCTATTTTCATCTACTTTGTTGGTTCTCAGTGGACCTTTCCAATCTGTCAACTCATATCCTTTAGTTTCTGGGAAGTTTCTTGAAGTATTTTATTGATCATTTCTCCCCATTTTTTTCTTTCTGGAACTATTAGCATTTGGATATTGGACCTTTTGGACTAATTCTCCACTGTTCTTTCTTTTCTATTTTTCACCTTTATTGTCCTTTTATTCTCCTTTCTGGCAGATATTATCAACTTTATTTTCTAACCCATCGAGTTTTTCATTTCTGTTATCATGGTTTTAATTTTAAGAGTTCCTATTCATTTTTGGTCTGTTCCTTCCTTAGAGTAAACATCTTGTTCTTTGTTTTGTTGAGGCAATATTATCGCACCTCTCTGTAACATTTGTAAAAAAAGTGTTTCTGACGTTTTTCTACCTGTGTAGTCTCTTTTCTCCAAATTGCTGTTTTACCTTTGTTGGTTTTATACTGTCTTCTTGTTAGAGGCTTTTCTCATATTTCTGGTAATTCTTGACTCGCTGCTCATGATTAATAGACTATAGGAGACTATATATGTTTTCTGTTGCTGTGTAACAAATTACCACAAATTTAGTGACTTAAAGCAACACCCATTTATTAATTCAGTTCTGGAGGTCAAAAGTCCTAGTGGGCTTCACTGTAGTCTCTGCTTAGGATCTCACAGGCTGAAATTAAGGTGTTAGCAGCCAGGGTTCTTATCTGGAGGTACTGTGGGCATATCTGCTTATGAGTTTTTGGCAGAATTCAATTCTATATAGTTGTAAGACAGAGGCCCCCGTTTCCTTGCTGGCTGTTAGGTGGTGGTCACTTTCCACTCCTAGAGGCTGCTTTTCAATCCCTTCCTGTGTCCTCACTCCATCTTCAAAGGCAGCAATGACATGTTGAATCCTTAGTCACCAGCTGGTGAAAGGCTCACCCAGATAATGTCCCTATTTTAAGGTCACCTGTTCATAGCAAAATAATGGGACTGATCTCTCCTCATATTCATAGGTTTGAGGATTAGGATGGGACATCTTTGAGGGGCCATAATTTGTGTTCTACAGAAACTTAGAAGACCATTGGATGATGTGATTGCTTGTATCAGACTTGTTAATGTTCACCTCTACGGTGGGCCTTTAATTAAGGAATCTCTGACATCAATATTTGTAGGTCTGTATTCTTGAATTGGTCAGATTCCCCCAGAGAATCATCTTTCAGTGTCCTTCCTGAAGGGTAGGGGCTGGTTACTGGTATTTTGGTAGCCAAGTGGGGGAAAGGGCTGAGGGTTTCTGCATATGGCATTCAGTGTGCATATTGTCATTTAATCTTACTTTCTACATGGTAGCTTTACCGCCAACTGTGCCTGGTGTTCTATAGTCCAGAGATCCTCTCTTTTACCCTCTCTAGAGAACAAAACTCCAGGCTTCTTGGGGAGGGGAGAATCAATCACCCAAAGGTGTGGAATGGAGGAAGGGGCACAGGGATCCAAATATTTAAGTGCTTCTCACACCAGTGCCAGAACAGGTATTGCCAGTTCCTGTGCCTTGTGAATATTTTTCAGTATAAATGATAATGATTCTCCGCTTTCCCTAGTTTACCATTTTCAGGTCTTCTAGGTCACTTAATCTGTTTTCCACATTCTGGAGTGTCCAAAATGTTGTTGCTGTTGTTTTACTCTTATTCTCCCTGTTCTTGTGGGTTTATAACTTAAAAATCCATTTAGTATGGGGATTTTTTTAGAGCTTTTGGAGGGAGTGAAATTAAATATATGGATTCCATCTAACATTTTAATCATCTTTCAACTACCACGAAATTTTCCTGAGTCTTCAGACCCACAAGGCATACTTTAAAAAACAGATTGTAGGACTGAGAATGATATGCCATGCCACCTCCTCAAGTCATCTTTCTGCTCCTCAGCCCCGCTCTTCTCAGACAGCAAGCCCTTAACTTCTCTCACACTTCTAACACCTGGTAAGATGTAGTACTTTGCTGTGAGCAGATTTACCTTTGCCTGGAGTGTGGATCTCTAAACTTCATCTCCACCTCCCTTAATAGCCAGCAAGTTCCTTTTTTGTTTGTTTGTTTTAATTCAAGTCAGAGTTTACTTTCCTCTGTGATGCTTTCTTCTCTTTTCCCTTTAGGGCTTTTATAGCAGCTTAAAGCTTTCTACCTTACTTTAAGTTAAATATGTACCATCTTACCACCAGATTTTGTGCTCATACAGGACAAATGACTAGTGTAATAACTTCAATGTCTCTGGAGTCCAGTACTGGGCACATTGTAGGCACTTAATGTTGTTGAATAAGAAACCTTTTAATCTTTCACAAACCTTAATGACAGTCATAAATTAACTGTAATAAGACTGCATGTACTGAAACATCAAGTTATTTGTTTGTTTTGGTTAAAGCCACAATTCTTTTAACAATACTTGGTAGTGTTATTTTTCTTATGCTTATTAAAGGCTCTACATTTATGTATGTCTAAGAAAGAACATAGAAGGTGGGCCTGGGTAGCTCATTCGGTTGGGTGTCTGACTTCGGCTCAGGTCATGATCTCACAGTTTGTGAGTTCAAGCCCCGTGTCGGGCTCTATGCTGACAGCCTGGAGCCTGCTTCTGATTCTGTGTCTTCCTCAGTCTCTCTCCCACTCTCCTGCTCACGCTCCGTGTTTCTCTCTCTCTCTCTCTCTCAAAAATAAATAAACATTAAAAACAAAGAACCTAGATGTACATCGAAAATATTGAGGGGCGCCTGGGTGGCTCAGTTAGTGAAGTGTTCCACTCTTGGTTTCGGCTCAGTTCATGATCTCACAGGTTCATGAGTTTGAGCCCTATGTCAGGCTCTGCACTGACAGTGTGGAGCCTGCTTGGGATTCTCCCTTTCTCCCTCTCTCTCTGCTCTTCCCCTGCTCACATGCACTCTGTCTCCCTGTCTACCTCTCAACATAAAGTTGTATAAAAAATTATTTAAATTTTTTTTAATGTTTATTCATTTTTGAGGGGGGGTGTGGAGGGGCAGAGAGAGAGTGAGACACAAAATCTGAAGCAGGCTCCAGGCTCTGAGCTGTCAGCACAGAGCCTGATGTAGGGCTCGAACCCACGAAACTGTGAGATCGTGACGTGAGCCAAGTCAGATGCTCAACCGACTAATCCACCCAGGCACCCCTGTATAAAAAATTATTTAATTACTATGATATACACCTGAAACTATGTCAATTATATTGAATTGAAACAAAAAGAATATGTAAACAAATTAGCTGTTATTTAATGGCATTTGCAATTTGGGAGTGCAAAATAACTCTGCTGGTAAAAAAAAAAAAAAGTTAAAAATCTTAAATGTTAAAGATGTAGTTTGCTTATTATGTTTTGTTTGTAGGTCAAGTCAGGATTCTTCCATGAAAGTGATTCCAAAGCTGTTGCTAAGTCCATTAGAGACCGGGTCACCCTGATAAAGAAGACAAGGGAGAAGAAACCAGCTGGCTGTTTGGAAGAACGCAGGGATTCCCAGTGCAAGTCTGTGGGGAATGTACTCCCTCAGCACCAGAATACAACTTTGTCCCCTGCTCCTGCTCAGCACACGGGGGCTGAATGTGAAGAAACTGAAGTTGATCAGCATGTTCGACAACAGTTTCTACAAAGAAAACCACAGCAGCACTGCTCCTCTGTTACAGGTAGTAGTCCTAATTTATAAAAGTAAACAAACGTGTGATTGTGTTCCCTTATCTTGAAATAGTACTTTTGTGCTTTTCAAAGAATTCTATTATCCATCATTTCATCATTCCTTTTACAAACTCCCTGAAATAGACAAGCCAGCCTAGTTATCTTATTTTAAAATTAAGAAACTGTTTTGTTACATGACTTGTCCAAAGTGCTAATTGAATAAGAGCTATAATATTTTTACCATTTTTAAAGGTCTAATGTAAATCCTTAAATAAAGAATATTTGGAACTAAAGGGAAAATTTATTTATTTTTTTTTTAAATTTTTTTTTCAACGTTTATTTATTTTTGGGACAGAGAGAGACAGAGCATGAACGGGGGAGGGGCAGAGAGAGAGGGAGACACAGAATCCGAAACAGGCTCCAGGCTCTGAGCCATCAGCCCAGAGCCTGACGCGGGGCTCGAACTCACGGACCGCGAGATCGTGACCTGGCTGAAGTCGGACGCTTAACCGACTGCGCCACCCAGGCGCCCCGAAAATTTATTTTTTAAGGAGGAATTTTCTAGACTTTAAGATCCTTTGTTTTTAGACTCAAGTATAAAATTATTGTATGGCACAAAAACAGACACATAGACCAATGGAATAGAATAG